TTGGCAGCGGTCAGTGAAGTTCACTTCACGGTATTTCGCTGTACGATGATGATGAGCGAGCGTGTAAGCAACTCTGAGATAAGTCACCGCGTATTCGGTAATGATTCGATGGAGAATTCCGATTAGTGGGCCTAGCTGGTTAGGACACGTATTGCGCAAACCCAGTCATTGTTTGCCGCACCGCCCCTTATTCGCAGTAGCCGCTCCAGGTTGGAAGAAACCGCGTGGAGGTAAACAGATGACGTGAAAGCGAGGCGCAAAGAAATGCACAGAGCCATTAGGTAGAGTAGGTGTCTCCCGTCTTCCAGGTTGAGGTCCACAAGACTCTGCAACTGGCTGGTTGGAGACATTGAAGGATATGGCGACTAACCGACAGCAGTGGCGTTCTTGTTGCCATTTCTCCTCAGGTCCGAATGCTTGAGAAGGTATGTATTCACACTTAGATTGTGTACGCTGTTTGTTGACCATGTAGATTCACTTTCTTTGCCTCCCTCCAATCAGGCTCCATCCCTCTACATCGTGTGCTTTATCACTTGATTTGTGTACATTGTGCACTTGAAAGCGATCAGTGAAGTTCGCTTCATTGTATCTTGCTGTACGATGATGATGATGATACATACTTCGTGTCCTCTTAACTCGTAGAAGTGCCTTGAACGTCCCTTTTCATGAGCCATCTCCTGTTTCCATCAAAAAATGACCCAGTAATATGAAGTATTTTGAGGGAATTTTTTAAAGCATTGTGCGTTTACTTCGATATACTCAGATTGCTGCCCGCGGGCTAACAAGATTTTTCTTCGAAAATTATTATATCACTCTATATTTCACACGCCTCTGAGTCTAGACCAAACAAATCACAGCATAATGATCTCTATAAAAAAGAAAGAGTTCTATGATTTGTTAGAAACCCTCTGTGGTTCCTAGGTGAACATAACGGTTCCTCACAGGGTGTCATTCGGGCACCTAACCTGACAATTTTTTTCGAATGTTTATGGTGCTTTTGCGCTTTTTGCAAAGGGTTATCGAACAGCAGTCAATTTGCATAAAACATCTCGATCGTTATGGCAGTTGTAATCTAGTGCTATAATGCAGCCCTCATTTGCATATTACTCCTGGAAAACCGGAACAGTATTCCTGTATTAGGACTGACGAGTAGGATACGCTTGGTTCGGTTTAGTATAACAGCAGACTGCAGGCTCTTTCAGTAGCGCAGATAGCCACCAATGGTCGACTTGTGGTCTCCTAATTCCTCTAGACCTAGACGAAACCAAAAGGAAGAGATGAAACATACCAAACCCTGCATAAAAGAAGAGGTACAAAGAAAATGTGTGTTGTTCCTAAATGCTGTTTTTCCAGCCATCTATCGGGTTCATCCTGTACGTGGAAGTTTGAAAAGAAATGATATCCTTCGTAAACGAGTTTCCCCTACCGAGATACCTTTTTCATCCCAGTTAATTGTTTTGCACTCCTTAGAAGTGGATCTGTTTACCATAGAGCTCTGTTATCACGTCATCAACTTTTTCAATTGATAATAACAACTTAAGCACACTAACAGTCTTACTTTGTCTGAATAACCATTATTTGGCATAACCCCGCAACGGTTTTGTTTAAGGTATTTTTGTTCTCCATCCGCGAAAAAAATCCAAAGGTTAGTTGAGTGAGCGAAAGACAGGTAATGTACTGTCGAAGGTATGAAATTCAAAAATATAAGTTGCTGAACAAAAGAGATTAGATACACCAAGCTTTGATTGATTTCAGTCCGTAAGAAATGGAGAACTAACTTCACGGTGATCTTGTCCTATGACATCACATTCTATTTACGAAGGTCGCATTTATCATCAGACAATCGAATGTTTAAGTGGAGCCCCCGGACCAATTGCAAATACGTCTACGTAGTCCAAACGCAGATCGACGGCTTTCTACTTCTACTCAGCACAAAGTTAGGACTATTTCCGATAGATGTTTGAGAAGTAGCGCTTTTTAGCATTGCCTATATAAAAAAAGGGTATTGCACCAAAAAGCACATCTTTTTCTCAGTAAATGCCGGAAATGAATCACATTGTCACTGATGGCTGCTGATATCGAGATATTCAATCTCATTGCACTTACTGCTCTGAAACTAGATGATCAGGAGTTGGCTGAAGTTGACTGCTTCTCGTGCTGGGGCAGTTTCGTAGCCAAAGACGGTATCACAGTAAAGGATATAATCGCACAAAGTTCCAAGTTTCAAGCGGCGTATGCAAGACTGAAACCCCTTTGGCGTAGATGTGAAATTTCACTCAAGTCGAAAAGTGGTGGTGGTGGTGGTGGCGTAGTGGTTTAGTCGCTGACACCCTGTGGTTTAAGGTTCGAGCCCGCCACCGCCACCCAACTTCAGTGGTAGACAGCTTTGCTGTTGCTCGGTTCTATGCCACGCCTGACCTATCAGGGCCTCATGTAGTTTGCCACTCCAAGTTTCGAGGATCAGTATGCCGGTTATCATCAATGAACAGCAGGTCTTCGTGACTACGGGGGTCCGTTCCGTCTGTTGTTTATCACACACTGGTGTGTAATAGAAAAAGTCGAGTGGAGCATGTGACCGTTCGTTTAGTTCTTCAAGATTGTGAGACCTAGAATTTGCGAGTAAAAATACCCGTCGACTGCTTACGCAGTTTGTTGCACGAGATGGAGCGATCAGGTCTAGAGATAAGCCGTCGTTTGTTTGGGAATTTATTAGAGACAACTTTGCTAGTGCATCCAATTCAGATCAGTAAACCTAGTTGGTTAGGACACTTATTACGTATACTCAGCTCTTGCTTACCACAACGAACCTTATTCGCTTCAGCCTCTCTGGGATGGAGAACACCACGTGAAGATCAGCAGATGGAAACGAGGCATAAGGAAATTCACAGAGCGATTAGGTAGAGCAGACACCTCTCAAATTTATGGATGGGGTCCAAAAGACTGTAACTGATTGGATGGAAACACTGAACGATATGACAGCGAACTGACGGCAGGGGCGTTCTTGTTATCATTTCGTATCAGGTCAGAATGCTCGAATGCCTCCCAAAGCCTCAGCATGGTCGAGGTGGGTGTCTAGGGTTGCGTCTGGTCACGTCCTTGCACCTCGTGAAATGCCTCTATACGACCAAGCGTCTCACATAGCCTATGTTGAGGAAGCCCTACTCACTGCCTTCTTGTGGTGGAGGTATTTCCCATCAAAGTGAGAGGACGAAAAGCCAACACCCGGCGGTATAACCGGGTTGGCGGACAACTAGTAGTTCACCTAGGGGAGTTGGCCAAAAACCCTGATACCAAATCAACCAAGAGAAGGCATATGAACCACACACCTCCCCGATTGTGGCAGTGGTTACCGAGTCAATTGGATATCAAGGTACATTCGGCACTTTGGACGTTTGACCCTGTCTGAAGGGCGAATGACCCGATGAACTGGACACCGACTCCCAATGGACTGCGGTTTTCTCACACCGCCCCACTGCCTTGCGGGGTAGGCTTTGGCTAGCCGAAGGCTCCGGTTGAGGATTCCCCACGAAAATGCACCTGCCTTGGCTTAGGCAACTTGGCAGTATTCTACCGACAAGCCAATCATGGAACGTTTTCCTTTTTATAAAGATTGTTATACTGTACTTTGTTTGGCACATCCTGGCCTTATACGTGTGCGAGATACAGATACATAGCAACTTAACTGTATCTGAAAAGACCTTTTGGTGTTCGCAATACACTATTTATCACTTTTCAAACGTTTCTTGCAAAACGCTAGCCACATTTAGAATAGAGCCCCTTCCACTTCCCTATCTGTTCTTGACCGTGTTCAACGTAAAGCAATTTGTCTCACCGAAGATCCAACGCTGACTTCCTCGACCCAGTCACTAGCTCACTATTGCCTCACGTTCTCTTTTCATCATTAATATTATGGTTTCTCTTCCCAGGGACTCACATCTGCAGTTACAACTCTACTTTGGTTCACCCGTCCGACCCGCACAAGATCGGAAAACCAGTTTTTTTTAATTTTTTTATTACACACCTAAGTGTGATGAACAGCAGATGGAGCAAACCCCATAGTCACGAGGATCTGCTGTTTAGCGGTGGAAACCCGCAACCTAAGCCCCGGGACTTGAAGTGGCGAACCATAAAAGGCCTCGATAGGTTAGGCGTGGTATTGAACCGGACGACAGCTGTCTGTCTACCAAGTGTGTATCCCTACTTACTGAAAATCTAGCTTTAATTTATCCTTTACATCGAGAACCAATAAGTAGTGAAACACCATCCCTCTATATTTCCCTTCATGTAATCTTCAAGTTTCTAGACAATCAACAAACTGGTTTTGGTATGGTTATTCGGCATCAAGCTCCCTTTTAAGGACGGAAGTTTCTCTTCCTTAAAACATAGCTTAGAACAGTACAGGAATTGCGAAGAATCCTAAGTACAGTTGTTCTCACCAATTGAACTCAGAGTAAGAAACACGGTGCTACAAAATTGGGCTGTATGTGGTAAAAATGATGCCACGCGCTCACAAAATTATGGGAAATGATCGCAAGAGGTGACGGATTGCAAGATGTACAATAACGTGGAAAAAGTGACTGGAATATGAATAATACAGTTTCCACATTATTTCAGCTGGGAAACACCGTAGAAAAGCTTTCCTCGAGTTAGGCTTTGTCAGCCCAACCTGTATCGAAAGCACACTTGGTGACAAGTGAACTTTTCATCAGCTACACGGCGATCAAATGTGCATTGAACACAATAGGTTTATAAGGCCACTAACAACCGAAGCCACTGGAAAATTTGTCCGAAATTTACTGGCCTTTCAGTTCTGGCTTCATTTGCACAGTGCAAGACAAAACAATTAACAAGAACTACTTGGAACAAATCAACAAGAATGTGTAGTACCAGTATTTTCACTTTTCAAAGCCTTTCCCCTGATTCATGTAAAAGCCTTATTTTGCTTTATTGCCCTCTGTTTCGAGATCACATATGACCTCGAACATGGCACAATTTCCGGTGAGTCATATCGTGCGCTTTACCCTCTGCACACTTTCCGCTGCAGGTCACATTAAACTACAAACGCTCGTACATGACTTCGTTCTCAATCCATTCTCGCTCTGGGAAACGTGGGATAACCCCGACCTATAGAATTCGTAAACGCGTCGTAACTCCAGCCTGACTTAGAGTGCTAAAAGTGCCTTGGAGGCAATGGAATGTTCCCATCCAGCATATGGGGTAATTGACCGTCCTTTGAGTGTTCCCTTAAGTAAAGCCGCGAAGTTTCAGTATATTTTGAGTTAACGGCCTTCTTGAGTGGCTTTCTACACTTGAGGATTGGCCATATCCTACATTGGTGGCTTCAGGCGGAAAATAAATTCTTAACGTCCTACTGTTTTTATCAGTATCCTCGAGACCTGGGAACAAGTAAATCTTATTCAATCCAGTTGGTACATTCAGAATAAATCATTTAATGCAATTCAGTTGAGTTCAGTTTGCACAGGACGAGTATGGGTCTTGCCAGTCGAGAGCCATACTAGTCTGATCAGGGTCCAAACAATGAGCACGATAACACGCCTCTTACTGTTCGATTCAGTTTACAAAATTTCCAAGATCTTTGAAGATTTACCTTCATTCAGGGTGAAAGGGATGATACGACAACGGCCAGATATGAGTAACCTTCAGTTCAGCAGTTCCATTGGCTGCATTGTCGTACCACCAAGGTCAGTCAGTCAGTCAGTCTTGAAGTCTTGAAGTCTTGAAGTGATTCACGGGTTCGAGGCTGTT